ATTTTGGTCAATGACATGAGACAAAGTATATGTGAACTGCTGTATGAAAAGTGAATTTACTCTGTAAATCTTCACCCAAATCAAAATAAAATTAAAAATAAATAAATAAACGTAAAAGAAAAAGAGATTTTATGTAGGGTTTGGGTTGAGTGTGGCTTTGATATGTAGAGTTCAGGGTGCTGATCAAAACTATTAGTTCCTGAAACTATTCATTTGTAAATCTGTCTTGAAATAGTAGTCATTAGGATTCCTTTGGTGCTTCAGGTATCTTGGGGCCTTGCAGAGTACAGCTTGCCCCTCCTTGAGGTGCATCTCTAATGATTTGCTTCCCAACATTCTGTCAACACTTTTTGAACTTAAGGTATTTTTTTGTCTTTCAGGCTTATGGTGAGGGTTCTGGTGCTGACTGTAGACGCCATGTCCAAAAATTAAATCTGCTACAGGGTCAAGTTTCAGAGATGTTACTCAGGTACAGTTATTTTGAAAGGGATAAGAGTTTCTTGTCCTGTTTTCTTCTTGAGTAGATACTGGAAGTATACAATGGAGAAATCCCTTAGATTCCCATGTCCTACAGTATGGCAGATTTGATACCCTGAACAGTCCTCCACTGAAAATAACTAAAAATACTGGGTATAATTTTTTTTTTTTTTTTTAATGCACTGATGAGCTGGCAAGAAAGATGTAACCCTCAAAGGTGAAAATTAATTAAGAGCCAAAATATAAAAAGTGAGTACCTGAGCTGCCAGGGTAATCGAAGCCTGGTGTTGTGGATCGTCCGTGCTATGAGGAGTGTGGGAGACAAGAGGCCAGTAGAGGGGCCCACACACAAAGCTAGTCCCTAAAGGATTACACCTTCAGTGTATGAAGGGACTAGAAACATACCTACCCACAACAGGGAGTTTGCTTGTCTTGACTTTGGCAGTGACTGGAGAGGGGTATATATTTCTCTAAGACTTTGTAAGCAAAAGGGAGCTGTCACATGGTTTTTCAGCTTTTTGCAAGTCCTGTGTAAAGAGTCTTGAGCCAAGAATTTACTATTAAATTGTCCTAGGTGGCAAATGCAGTTCCCCTCTAGAGCCACAAATCTTCTACCCAGGCCTTAAAGTATCCCACAAATGAAGTTCCAAGAAGCATATATGTCAGAGCTAAAAATCATTACATGCTCAAAGACACAAGTCACTATGAGCCAAAAACAATGGACAGAAAAATCAGACCCACAAATTCTTCAGAATATATAATATTGGATGTTTAATATATTTAATGAAATAAAAGAAGGGGATGGTAATATAAGGAGGAAGAGACTTTAAAAAATAGCCAATCAGATTTGAAAAAGAATCTATAAAAATGGAAAATCTAATCATTTAAATTAAAATTTCAATAGACAAGTTAAACAGATTAAACACAGTTTAAGAATTAGTGAAGTTGAAGATAAATCTGAAGAAATGACTCACAATGCGGCACAGAGAGAAAAAAGTAGAAAAATCTGAGGAAAAAATTGAGAGGAGGATACAGAGATGATTTCCAGCAAGAGAGAATGGGGCAAAGGTAGTATCTGAAAAGATGAAAACTGAAAGACATACTACTTTTTATAGATAAAGAAGCTAAGGTACTGGTACCCACATATGGTACAGTTTAGAGTGCTGGTGGCATAGTACCTCAGGCATTTGACTGTTAACCAGAAGGTTGGCAGTTCAAACCCACCAGCCACTCTGTGGAAGGAAGACTGAGCAGTTACTTCTGTAAAGATTTACCACCTTAGAAACCCAAAGGGAGTCACTATGAGTAGGAATCAACTTGATGGCAGTGAGTTTGGTTTGGTTTTGGTTGTACTTCACTAGAGAGAATGCCAATTTGCTCATGTGATGTAACAGTCCTTTGTGACATGAATGTATGTGACCTTTGGTCCCAACCTCAGTCTTCACATCAGAAATATTTCCACTGACCAACCAGCCCCAGTCAAAACCATAGAGGCTCCACCTCTTGCTGTCTGACATGTGGTGAAAGAGCCCTACTCTCCCTAGGCTTCTGTGGTAAATCAGGCTCAGTAACATTCCTCCTGTTCTCCTATAGTGGCTGAGCAATTGTAAAGACTCTTGTATGACCCGATCTGATGGGGACATCTCCATTGCAAATGACAATGCTCAGCTGACATTACTTTCTGTGTACCAGGCCCTGAATGATACATGCATATATACATTACCTCGTTTTTCTTCACAGTCACCCATGCAGTCTTATCCCCATTGTGTATGAGAAAAGTGAGACACGAGGGTTAAATGGCACACACACGGCTAGTCACTGCAAAGCCAGGATGCAAACCGGTCTCTGGCTAGAGAGTCTGTACCTTCTGCCTGTGTCATGTTTCCTATTGATAGAGGGCTTTCTCAGCCTGAGTCCAAGGAAACAAGCAGCCCCTCTGGTGCAGGCCTAAACTGCTGGAGGATTATAGAATCACTTCAAAATAGCAAAGTTCCTAAGATTCCCCCAGCCTTGATACCCACTATCAAGTTCTTGCATCTTTCCTGGTCATTTTACCAAGAAATTATGTACAATCTTTCCCTAAGCTCTCTGGAAGAACCTGTCAATGCCAGTAAAGAAGAAAGTGCAGGTCATCAGACTGATGGCATGAATCTGCAGGTAAGGCAGGAACATTTATCTCAAGCCCAGGCTGGGACTGAGAGTAGTTTTGTCTAGCTTAAAGCATTCCATTTACTCTTATTAGTCATTTGTTCAGCAAACTCTCATTGATGCCATTGCATGACAGGTGCTTTGCTTGAAGCTACAGGAACACAAAATTGAATAAACCTGTCCCTCTTTATAAGTGTGGAGACGGACAAGTACAAAATTACAGTACTCTATAAGGGCTTTTTCTTCTATCTGCTTGGAGAACTCCCCCCTTCTTTGTGTGTCCTCCCCTTGGTTCTCACAGCACTGGGCATGCCTCCAGTAGGGGAAGGATGCTGTTGTGGAGTGGGTGGGTTTCCGTGTTCCCCTCCTACCAGACCATGAGCTTCTCAAGATTAGGGATCACATTGGGTTGTTCTCTGTGCCCAGGGTTTAGTGAAAAGGCTGGCAGAGTAGATGCTCAGTGGGCAGTGTGTGTGAGTGCATGAGTCACTAAGTAGGTGACACTACTGGTACATCCAAAATGCGTGGGCACATGAAACACTATGTCCTGCCAGGGAGAGAGAGTAGGGACGATTGCAGACAAGCAGAGCCTCCTGCCTAACTGGAACAGAGTCTTGCCTCTGTTTGCACTGTTTGGGCAATGCCCTGCCTCCACTTGGCCTTGATAGTCTTATTATAAATAGAGGGAACATGTCCTAAAGCATGCCACTTTAACACAGCTCTTGTATCTTTGCTTATACTTCCATTTTTTGTCCATTTACATACTTAATTTTACATCATTCGTATTATAAGAATTCTTTTTTGTATTCTAAAGTTTTCACTTACATTATTCTCCCATGTTGCTATATAGTCTTCAGTGACTTTCATTTTTAAAAAGTATCCACAGAATATTTCAATTAGTGGATGGACCAATATTTATGCCCTTATTATAAGACATTTAGGTTGTTTCCAAATTTTTGCTATTATAAGTTGTATTTGCTCTCGTTTAGAGGAGCTCTGGTGGCACAGTGGTTAAGGCATTCAGCTGCTAACCAAAAGGTTAGCTGCCCCATGAGAGAAAGATATGCCTGTCTGCTTCTGTGAGGATTAACAATGATAGGGCAGTTCTACTCTCTCCTATAGGGTTGCTATGAGAATATTTACTCCTGTTTATAACACTTTCATTAGCATCGCTATGCCTTTTTTCTTTTGGAATCCCTGGGTCAGGGAGCATGGACTTATTTAGGTTCTTGATAAGCTACCCTGCTGCTTCCCAGGTGGATACCAGTGTGCACCATACCCAGGAGTGCCTGAGGGCATGAGTTTCCCCTTTCCTGGGTCTTAAAGTAGATTTGAGTCCTAAGACCCTAAGAATGGGGTTGGGGAGGTTCAGTAATAGTGCCTACTTTCTAACTCTGAAAATAAAACCTATTTCCCAAACCTGTAGGAAAAATCGTGGCCCAGAGAGAGCCGTTGGCTGAAGTATCTGGAAAAGAGCTCCAAAGAATTAGAGCTGGAAGGAGAAGTGTGTTTCAATGGACAGCCCTCATCCATATCAGAGAAGTCAAGCCCTCCCTTCAATGACAACCTCCCTAAAAAAAGGTGCCAAGCTAGTCAGTGGTGCAGACCTCATACCATTGCCCTCACTGACTCTGGAACAGGGGGACTAAGGAGCTACTTCTAATGGTCAGCAAAGTGGGAGAAACCCAAGTGAGGCATTGGCGTGAGGGGAAGCTCCGTAGCAGCTGTCAGGACCAGCCCTCTTCAGCCTGCCGTGGGACTGGGTGCTGCCATGCAGAGCAGAAGCTGGGCAGGCACCATGGTAGCCACCTTTTTACAACAGTCACTTAATTTTGAACATCTCAGACTGTACTGACCTGAGGAAAGAACTGATTTTAAGGGCAGGATTGACAAAACTAAGTGTGGTGAGAGTAACCAAAGGGCTTGGAACTTAAATTTAGCTTAGAGAGCAGAACTCTGATGCCGAAGATTTTGGGTTGCTCTTATGGGGCAGGAGCTATTGGGAGGTAGATTTCCATTTAAGGTAATTTTTTCCAAAAACTTTAGGCTATCGAGCAGAGAAATGGACTATCTTGCATTTAAGTTGGCAGGCTGTTATTTGAGGTAGAGCAGAAGCTGAGTGGCCACATAGGAAGTCAAAAGGAATGAAAAGGTTTCCACCTGTGCTGGAGTGCTGGACCAGGTTCCACTGAGTTGGAATCTGAGGAACTCTGATGACAGGACTAGGGTAGCTGACAGTACTTTCGTCCTCACCAGGAAATGGAGCCTGCATCCAGTCCAGCCTCCACACAAGAGTACTGATGCCCAGGACTCAGGGAGCAGAGAAGTTGACTCCAAGATCATTTTGCAGCCCCAGGTCAGTGTCTCTCTTCTGGTTTCAGTGACAATATATTGAGTATACACAGCATTTTTTCTTTTTTAATTGTCTTATTTTCTTTTGATAATTGATGGAATATTACACTTATCACACTAGAAAGCTTGACTTTCTACTTGGGTATCTCGTCATTTATTTTGGTCATAAGCCAACCCTTCTCTGGCTTGTACCCTTCCTGCACTCATCCTCCAGGTGATGTTCTCTCATGGTCAAGAACCCATCTTGATGCCTTAGAGCCACAACAATTACTCAATAGGGTCAGGGCCATTTTCTTCATTCTGCAGGGAATGAGGTATCTTTGTCAGCCTGTTACAAACAAGACTTGCCCTGCATTTCTGAGGACATGTTGCCATCCTTTCTCTAACTCACCTCATGGCAGTCTTTTGCACTCAAGGCACTGCATTCACTTAGCAAGTGTTCTTTTTTTTACTGCTTCACACCTAACTGACTCCATTGCACACAGTGCTGAAAAATACAGGTTCCTGAAGCTCACTGCCTGGGCCTGGCTTCATGCTGCCATGGGTCTGGGCCGAGGAGCCAGCAGTTGGGAGTCTACTGTCATCAGGCATTGCCATAGACTTGACATGAGACCTTCTCGTGTTGGCACAGACCATCATCTCAAAGCCAAGAGACAGAGTTTAAGGGCTTTGCCACTAACTAGTTTTATGACCCCCAAGTAAGTTCATGGCCCATAATCCCCAAATTATGGAGTAATGTCAGTGATGATGATAATGGTTACTGAATGTTTACCATGTGCCAGCCCCTGGACCAAACACTGAACCTGCTTTATCATGCTTAATGCTCCCAAGCCTGCTCTTTTGTGCCTTGAAGGTAAGGAACTGAGGCTCATCAAGGCTTAGTGACTGAACCAAGGTCACAACAAGTTCATGGGTAGAGCCAGCATCTCAGTGTCACAGCAGCAAAGCTTCTTCCACATGGCCTGAGTGATAGTATTGTAGGGTCCCACTGTATCACTGCTTTCAAAGTTAGTTTGTAAGAGTGAATTCAGCTTTCAGTGGTTCTGTTACTGGGGTGGAAGGGTAGAGACGGTCCCCACACCTCTGTCATCTGCTGGGGGGTCTTGTACAGCCACACATACAGCTTTACCTCTTCCACCCAGCTGTGCAGAGACAGCCTCATTGGACAGGACTGAGCAGCACAGTGGCATCCACATTCATCCCTTTCCAGTTGGTCTCTAAGGCCCCTTCCTACTCTCATCCCCTTTCAGGTCCCCCACCTGATTTTAAGATCCCCATATAGTGGATTTCCTGATCACATGAGGATATCTCTTTTTTTGGGGGGAGGGGGGACTAGTCATGGAGTTTCATGGAGAATTTGAAGTGAGGTAAACCTCAAAACCAGAGCATCTCCCCAGCCAAAGAACTAGCCAGTAGATAGAACACAAGAGCATGATATTCCAGAACCAGGAGCACAGACCAGGAGTGGTTATGCTGCCATATAGTGCTCCCTCGTCCCTGTAGCTGGGGCCTGCTTGGCTTCTGGAGCTCATTCTTCTAAACAGAGGATGTGGCCCTCTTCTGCTCTTATTTCTATTTCAGGGATATGCTAGCCTGACAGGGAAGGTCAAACAAGGAAGCAGTGGCTGCCTCCAGAACTCAGAGGACTGGAATACCAGTGAGTTTACTTTTCCTCAGTGGAAACCACCTAAGCCTACCCAACCAGTTAAGGCTGCATCTTCTAAATGGGAACAATTTCTTCTGTCACCTGGAAAGAGCTCCAGTGTGGATCCAGAACCACTGAGACCAATACAGACAGGCCTCAGGTCAGCCAGTCCAGTACAGCCTGAGCCCAGAACCCAGAGTCCAAGGAAAGGCCACCCCAGCAGTTCCTCCAATGTTCTCCAGCCTCCTTGGGTTCCACACATTCCCATGTCTGTGGCCAGGAAGTCCTGCAGGAAGACTGCTGAACAGCCATGGAGCCCAGGGACTTTACAGGCAGAAGCTGGGCTCCTAGTCAAAGAGTACCTCTTTAAAACTGATGAGGACTTTGATGATGACTTTTGAACTGAAGCCAGTATATTATTTAGGTATATTTGTTATATGAGATTTCCAGACACTACAAATAGTGTCTTCTTAAATTGCTTTTAAATCATGGGATTGAGTATAATTTATGGAGACTACTGAAAGGTGACAATAAACATTACAGTCAAACAAATTTTTTTTATTGTAGAAAGGACAACATCTTTGATTAAAGTGCTTACAGCATTTAATTACAGATTGGTTACAAATACAACAGAATGGCTACAAAGGGATTCTCTTACTTCAGAAGCAATTGACACATTTGGAAATGAGAGACCTTTAGTGGTTATGAACATAGAGGCAGTACTCAGTGAAAACCAACATCTGACTTGCCTTTTATCAGCCCTTCTTTATTCCTAAGTACCAAACCCACAGTAGTGAGCTGTCCTGTTCTAACCCCATTACTCTTCCCCAGCACCTGCTCCAGGACAGCCCTCCTCTAGGACAGCCCTCCTCTGCTCCCTGACAAAACTGTAACAGTACTCTATCTAAAATCAAGAGTATATCAGGTTTCTAGTGGATAATCAACTAAATGTCAGCATACTGTTAGTCATTTAAAAAAAAAAAAAAGCAGAAGTTCATTAGGCAAGATATATTCTGGACTGCTGGTATTATCCTGGGGATGGGGGGACAGGAATAGGCTGCAGTGTGTCCTCCGTGTCCTCAGCAAAGGCAAAGCCCAGAGTCAAGGCACGAGGGATTCTGGTTTTGTCTCTCAAACAACAAACTCGAAACAGCTAGGTTCTCAAACATACACATACTTGGAACTTCCCCCTCATGTCACCTGTTCTACTGCCCTAAACGTTTTCATGGATCCCTACCCCCCCAGAATCTGGAAGAAGAATACAGAGAAACTGGCCCTTACAGAGGCGCTGCTGTTCTATGTTAGCTCAACACAACTATGAGACAAAAAGGAGGTACAGACTATTTGAGCAAACACTGTCACAATGGTGGTGGGTGCTTTGAATACTGGATGGTGTCCAGAGCAGCTCCAATGTCGTAATTCTTGGTCTGTAGGAGCCTAGTGAGCCAGCCACCTTCATCAGAGAAACCCATGGACAGCATCTGGGAGAGGGACTCAATCAGCCGGGGGTCAGCTTCTGCCAAAGAGAGTCACAGGAGCATGTGAGGAGAGGCCAGCACCAAACCCAGTGTGCCAAGTACAGCAGCCTCCTGTCCCCCAGCCAGCAAACAGCCAGTGCCCACTAGACCAGACCCTCCACATGTGCCCTCTAACTCAGAGGGACCCATAAGACTGGGACCCACAAACTTTCTGTGAAGGGCCAGATATTTTAAACTTTGCAGGCTATATAGCTTCTTGTTAGAATTATATACTCAACTCTGCCACTGGAGCACAAAAGCAGCCTAAGCAATACATTAACAAATAAATAAATATATAGGCACAGCTGTGCTCCAAATAAAACTTTTATTTATGAACAATGAAATATGAATTGCATATAATTTTTACATGTCACATAACTTGCTTTTGTTCTAACCATTTAAAAATGTAAAAATCATCCTTGGTCCGTCGGCCACAGTTTGCTACCCTGCTCTAAGGCAGAGAAAATACGCGCTGGGAGCCCCCAGGCCAGATTTGGCCCACAGATGGGTTTTCCTTCACTTGAATATTGTTTTGAATTCATTACCAAGGGACAGTAATGAACAGGAGCTAATCATCCATTGCTGCCTTTATTCAGGGTATTCTCTTATACTGCCACAGTTCCCACCCTGCCCCCTGCCTTACACACTACCTGCTACACTTGGTTCCTGTCTGGCTCTTACAAAGATCTGGGATGTGACCCCTGCCCTAAGGTCACCATTCTCCATGAGGAAACCATGAAGTCACAGCAGTGCCAAATCCAGTGCTTCCCTCTACATTATGTCTGCCTTCTTAATTCTTAGTCTGGGGGCTGTCTTACAAACTGCTAAAATTAGCTGAGATGTTATAAGAGGGCCAAACCACTCCTAATTTTCTGTTATAGCTATAGACACCCCCAAACAAGAATATCACATCATTTTGTTAGTGCTGCTAAGAGCAGAAAACTAAGATGCTCTGCAAGAGGTAAAAACACAAAACTATTAGAAGTCACTTGCCTGGTGGAAGATGTGGGTATAGTGCTGCTTCCTTCAGCCCTGTGGGGCCGTCCTGGGAAGGGTCCAGAGAGCTAGGTCCTTCAGATTCTGGCATCTGCAGAGACTGGAGCTCACCAGTAGACGGGTCCACTTCTTTTGAGGACAAATGAGTCCAGTCATCATCTCCTGCTGAACAGTTATCAGATTCCATCTGTTCCTGGAACAAAACTCACTGTGAGGACATAAGGAACATGAGCAATAGATGGAGTCTGATCACAGTACACATTCCTTTCTATAGGGTAGGCAAGAAGCTATGGGCCCAGTGAGCAGCTGCTCTAAACATCAAGTATATTTTTCTGTACAAGTTCTACCAGAAGGGTCATAGAATGACTTAAATACCCCAGAAACAGACTGTCAGTGCTGGTGAGGGAAGGTGGCTGAGAGGTACTGTGGACAGAATGCACCTGCTGGCTACCCTTTCAGTGACCTGGGAGAGCAGGCTTGCCTCAGGTTGCCCTACAGGCTCCAGGGTGACTTTTTTCATTTGTTCTGCCAGGGACTGTGCCATGCCCTCCACGTTGCCCTCTGGTTTGCTGGGTTCGGAGGAGCAGCTGCTTGGCTGTGAGCTGCACTTCTCCTCTGTGCTAGAGCTATCTGGAGAGACGGGTGTCAGGCGGCTTCTTTTCCCTCCATGTTCCACATCAATATCAACTTCAATGCCTAGAGCACAAAGAGGAAACAAAATCCTTCAGAGAAGGGACTGCAAAAAATAATGCAAAGGTAATCTCTCAGAGATCTGGGGGGCTATAGGTTAACAGAGCTCTCTCAGGTCCCATCCTCACAGGCATCTGAGGAGTCAGGATGGGCACTCATTGTGCAGACACAGAAACTGACTGACAGAAGAGTTCAAGCCCCAGTCACACAGCTAGTAATGGACCAGCCAAGTCCCATAAACCCAAGAGCCAGAAGGCAAATGGATGGTCATCTTTGATCTTCAGGGTCTCCCAATATCCTGACCTAAAATCTTCTCAGATTTATTACTTGGTTTCTAGAAAAACTCTTGCTGACATGTCCATTATGTTAGACTTTTCCCTTACGCCACCTTAGTAAAACATTAATTTTAGTTAATATTCAACATCGTCTTGAGCCAGAAAGTCTATAGAGAGACCTTGTTTTTCCTACTCCTGACCAAGTTTCTAAGAGGCTGGCTTGACAGGGCTCAACCTCCATTCCACATGCCTTTAGGGTTCTCCAGGAAAAACAGCTCAGCTCACAACCAAGTAGGAGCAAGAAGGCATCCAAGGAGCCAGCTCCATCCCAGGGTGTTCAGCCAGGGAGGAAGAAGAGAAGATGTGATCATCTGTGATGAGCGGAAGGGGCATCAGCTCTAGAGAGGCAGGCAGTGGGGAGCAACAACAGGGTGAGGGTCTGGAGAATGGAGAAGAGTGGAGTAGAGGATGAACCCAGAGAAGTGGGTCCAAGTCCACAAGACTGAGTTGGGCCTCCCTTGTGGCCACAGGAAGCTAACAGGGCCTGTGAGCATGGATGTGGTAGGTCAGAGCCTATCTGGAAAGCACCACTCTAGGGTAGAATGTGAGAGAGGTGAGGCCTGAAGTCAGAAGACCTGTGATGGCTACATAGCAGCCTAACCTGGGATAAGGCGGCAGAGGCTGGAGGTCTTTCCCTGCTACCCTAGATCACACAGGGTTACAGGACTGCATGTCAAGGGGGTCAGGCCCTAAGAACAGGGTGACAGCCAAAATACCACAGCCAGGGTTTCCTTGGCTGAAGACTACATGAAGCATTTTGCTTGTATGCCAGGGCCTTGTGATAGGAAAAACACCCATATTTAAAGACCAGAATTCTGCCTCAGAGGCAAACAGAATGGATCAAGTTGCATGTGAGCCCATGAGGCTGAGCAGCACAGGGCAGCATGTCCCCCATCCATCTTGGGCACTCCAGGCACATGGTCAGTGAGGAGGTAAGAGGGCAGAATCTCCTGTCCTAATTTTAAAATCAGTCAAAGACTACATGCACACAGCTTAGCATCAAACACTTCCAAAAGGCTTAGAGTGAAAAACAGCAATCCTCTGCCTTCCCTACTCCCCCACATATCCTGCTCCCATTTCCCAAAGCCAACTTCCAACTCATGCTGTTCTTTGGTAAATACTCCAATTTACATCTATCTATGTCTTACTTTAAATCAATATTTGTCTCCCCTCCCCCTATCCTTTCAGAAATTCTTTTTTTTTTTTTTTTTGCTGAAACATTCAGCATTTATATTGTTGTTGTTGTTGTTATGTGCCGTCGAGTCGGCCCCAACTCATAGCGACCCCTCCTTGGGTTACCGAGGCAGTATCACTACGGAAGTAGGATTGCCCAACCTTCCTTCCGAGGAGTGGCATTTATATTAGTACCACTATATAAGTACTGTTCTTTGTTGAGCCAAGTAGTAATTTTGTATATGGATTGAATTATGTCCCCCAAAAATGTGTCAGTTTGGCTGGGCCATGATTCTCAGTATTAGGTAATTATCCTCTATTTGTGATCTGATATAATTATCCTCTGTATTGTAAATCCTAACCTCTATAATGTTAATAAGGCAGCATTAGAGGCAGTATGTTAATAAGGCAAGATATATATAAATGTACAGGATTAAGCTGTATCTTGAATCAGTCTCTTTTGAGATATAAAAGAGATTAAACAAATGAAAAGACATAGAGGGAACTGACTACCATCAAGAAAGAGCCAAGAGTGAATGAAGCCTGTCCTTTAGACCAGGGTCCCTGTGCTGAGAACCACCTAGACGCAGGAGAAGATGGATCAAGTCACACAGAAATTTCCAAAGAACACCAGGCCCATAGATGTTGAAAGAAGACAAGGATCTTCCTCCAGTGCTGATAGAGAAAAAGCCTTCCCCTACAGCCAGAGCCTTTGGCTTCTAGCTTCCTCAACTGTGAGAGAATAAATTTCTGTTAAAGCTACCCACTTGTGGTATTTCTGTTATAGCAGCACTAGATAAATAAAACACCTTGCTTGTTTCCTTGTATAGTTCTTTTATTTTTGTTTTCCTAACCTTAACGATACTCTCCTTTTTTTTTAATTTGCTAATTGCCCCCCATAGCCTACAACAGCTCCTTAATGAAGCACTAAAATAAGGCTATTTGTGGGGCCGGGCATCATCAGTGTCCCACGTGCAGGCTGGCTCAGTACAAGGCCAGCATCGGGGGAGCCCAGATGTCAGGAGGTCTCAGGCTCATTTCTGAAAGCATCCAGCCTCTCCTGAACAGGAGTTCCCAATCTCCCGCCTGGCCAGAGTGGGATACTAGACCCAATGATCAAGTTGACTACTCATAATGCCCAGCTTCAGCCTGGTGCCTTGCACTATCATCTGCTACATCCCTATGAGCGAAGCTTCCCTGGCTCAGGTACTCCAGATATCGAACAGCAGTTCTCCTGCAAGGGTTGGCATCTGGCTGAGTGGGGCCCTGAGATCTCTAAGTGATCCTTCATGAAGGTTTTCAACCAGTTCCCTTGCCCCTGGCTCCTGTGTCACTCCTACCTCTCACCACTCCTGGCACTTGTGCCTCTCCCAATTCTTGAGTGGTTTCTCGTCTCTTACCAGTGTCCACTATGCAGGCACATAGGTTTCTGGTGCTTCTACTCTTGGTTACCACCTCTATCCATTTCCTATCTTTCATATTTTGGTGACATCTCTTATACCATTTGTGTCTTTTGTTTACTCTCTTTACTGTTTATCGTTGTAGTGGAGTTTGAAGAGAGAGCAAAGATAAATGCAGGCTTAACTACAAGTATCTCCATCTGCATTAAGTTGTTCTATTTTTTCCTCTGATATCTCATGAAAACATTCAAGCAAACAGAAAAGTTGAAAGAATAGTACAATAAACATGCATATACTTGCTCATTCTATTTTAAATGGGTGAATGATATGACTTCTGTAGACAAGATCAGAGATCACAGAACTAGGGTTTTTCCAAGGTGATGATTAACCCCTTGAGACTTCAGGGCTTACCAGGCTGTGTAGTAGTCTGTGCCCTCCTGCCTCAAACCTGTGTCTTGTGTTTACCAAATACACTGTGTTGAGGAAGACCCTGCTGTTTTACAACCTAGATGCCAGTGACTGTGGCAGCCTCTGAAGTAGGACTGGCCCTGCGCCTCGGGTAGAATCACTCAGTCACACAGCACCTACCAAAAAACAGCTGTGGCTCTTTAATTCACTTGACTCACTCTCCGAACCACCTCCTGGAGGGTGGTATTGGCTACTTCCCTTTTGGGCCCCTCCTCTGGGAACAGACCTCTGTAGGCATGAACAGTATGAATCATTCTAGTTTTTAGTTCTGCATAAATAAATGCATATATACCCATCACTCAACAACAGAATTTAAGCAGTTCCTCAAAAAGATCTCAATGGAAATCACTCAGTAGTATTTTATTGAAACTTCCCGTTTTGGAAGTACCAAGCTCCTCTCTAGTTAAAAAGATCTTTATCCCTATCCTAAAGGACCTCTGACCACTTCTAAAATTATTCCCAATGTCCTGAGTAGAGAATCCACATCAGTTCTGAAATACTCCACAGGCACAGATGGCTTTGGGGAAGCAATAAAATGAGATACAGGATCACATGGGAAGCCTTCAGAAAACTGATTCCAGGCCCCACTCCAGTCCCACTGAACTAGTCAAGAAAGGTGGGACCTAGAAATCCTGGGTTGTGACCTCCCAGGATGTCTTGTTCTTTTAGTGAAGGGCTTTGTTCTTCAATCAAGTTTCCATAGACCAAAATGCAGACCATAAAACCCTTTGTTAGGGATTTTGAAGCTCAGCCAACCCTAAGAAACACTGCTCCACTGACCTCCACAGAGAAGCTTCCATGGCCCCTAAACCACAGGCCATTAGTAGGGTGACTACCCCTCAAACTGCTATTTTTTATCTTTCAAACTTGTACTGTATCTTACTTTAGTGTTAGATGGCATTTAAGCAGAGCTTACCTTCCAATTACAAGCTGATCTCTCCACTGTTGTATCCTTTTGTGAAAGCATTAAGAATATTTTTTTTTCTCATTCTCTCAAGAGACTTTGACGGTACAGAGACTATGTGGTGTGAGCTGTTTAATCTTTGCAGCAATGCCTATATGTCACTGATGCTTCAAAGGCATGTCCTAGGGCAGAATCAGTGTGAGTGCATGTGGTCTCAACTGGAGGAGATGGCAGTCACACTATAAGCCAAAGCAGGCAGTGGGCAGGGCTGGGCATCCTTCCATCAATATTCCTTCAAATATGTGACACAACTTTGGACAAACTGAGGGATACTTCCTGCCACTGCAGACAAAAAGATGCACCCTCTCCCTGAGGCTGGATCCATCATATCTTGAACTAGATGTCCCTTTCATTAGCTGATTCTTACCATCATAAAACCTAGCCTTGTGGCCCCCACCTCCCAACAATCAGATGAGCAGGTGCTTTCCATAGCCACAGCAGTGAGCTCCAGAGTCTGCCTCAGGTCAGGTCACACCACTGAGAGGCACCCACTGCACATCACACACTCCACTGACCTACCTATTCTGAAATCAGAAGTGCTGGAAAGACTTCACAAAAGGTAGCCTTTCTCTGTCATCCCCCTCACTCCCCAGCACTACGTATGGGCCCAGAAAGTACCCAGGAATGGTTTGGAGTTTGCAAACAAAAAGGAAGGAAAAGATAAACAGCACCTCAACTAAATACGCACCCAAGTCCTTGAGTAAACCCCAAGACTCACCTTAGGGGAAAATGCAAATTGTCCTTCCCCTAAAGGGCAGTCAGAAGTTGGCAGGTAGGCCCTTCAACCAGACTCTGGTCACCCTCCCTACTGAGAATGCCCCAACCACATCCGATTTCATGTCCCTTCCTGTAGAAAGCTCAGGAATTTGTCAGGGAATTTGAGTTGACTATGATCTGCCACTTGGCAAAGACTGGCCTAAGCCAACACATACTTGACAGATCAAGGCCACATCAGAGGTAAAAGCCACCAAAATGCTAAGTTTACACTGACTTAACAGAAATACTCAACTGTTACAAAAGGATGAAAGTTCACTTACCCAGAGGGCTAAGCGCAGCAGCTACACTTTCCCCTACATTCTTCAGGAAGTTGACGCTGGGATCCTCTGAGGGAACAGAAGCTTTTGATTTTCAAAAGCAAAAATAAATGTGTCATTCAAACCATGTTTCTCAATGACTCTGATACCTGTTCACAGTCCTATCACCTTCCTCCCAAGGTCACTATCACCCCAGGCATCCTCTGCATCCTAGTGGATGCCTCATCCTGGAAGCTCACACACTCCTCTTCCTCCTCCCACAGGCCACCTGTACCCATGGGGCCACATCCTAACTCACTTTATCCTCCAACCTGTTCCTCTTCCTTTGTCTGTGTCCCTCATACTCAGTAACCCAGCAGGGCTCAGGATATGCCGTGTGTAAATATTGGCAATGTCTGAGATATGTTATATACTCAAAATCAAAAAATATCCCTACCTTTGTCCAAAAAGATGAAATGAATCAAAAAAACAGTGTAATTAATAAAATCAAAAGAAAATCGTAACTCAAAAATGTAGACTGCAAGCTTCATGGAAAATTTTAATTTTGTGGCCGCATTTTACTAAGAACAGATATGGCTCTGGGCTTCCTAAAAGCTGACCTAAGAGGAGAACAGCTCTGTTATGGAGCTTCAGGGGCTGGGTGTCCTGCAGGCCTAAACTTGGCACCCAGATGGGCTACAAGGTGAAGCGGTTGACTATTGGATACACTAGTGACCTTGGGCAATCCCCATTGCCCCCTAGCTTTCATACTTATGAAACAGAGCTAATACTCCTCACTTTGCAGGGCTCTTGCAAGGATTAAACAACATTAATGGCTATGAAAACGCCAGGCCCAGCCGCTGGCATAGCAGGCATCAGTGCACATGAAGGGCTTGGGTAACAGCACCAGAACTAAAAATGGTCCTACAGCTTAGCTGGCCTTTGACAGCACACATCAGACAGGCTGCCTGAGTTAGCCTCACCTGATTCCGTCATGGGGCTGGCGCGAGCATCTCCTGCCCTAGGAGGACGTGGGCTCCAGTTGCCTGGTGGACCCATTTCCCAGCCTGGCCAACCAAAGTGCCCATGTTTTAGCTTCCGGAGCCAGCGGCTGTGAGAGAAGCCCTATGGGAAGAACAAACAGGGCAGTGTGGGGTCGGAGGGATCCTGCCACCCCAGTACCCACCCCAGGCCTGCACAGAGGCACTGCTCACCTCAGAGAGGTGCCCAAAGGGGCTGGGAAATGCAAGCTTGCTGTGTTCCCTGTGCATGCCTTTCCCCTCACAGGCAGCACAGAGGTCATAGTCTGGGCAGACGCTGCACTTGTAGCGAGTCCCCACCACGGGGCCATTGCAACCATCACAGATCACATTGGGGTGCACCAAGTTGCGGGGTGCCTCCTGAGCACAAGGGGGGCGATGGTCCCGCCGGCACTCTTTTTTCTCTGCAGGGAGGGTGGAAAGAACCATTGAGGTGAGGCCCCCGAATTCCTCCCCCTCTATCACCACTGTGGGGCTGTAACAGCCAGCAAGGCCCATGCTCCCACTATGGCCCAAAAACGGCCCCTAGTCCCATGGCTCTTGACCTGAGCACAATCAAGAATGAACCCAGAGACCCTTCAGACCCCACTACCTACGTGATTAAAGTGGAGTTCTTTCTAAGGGCAAACTCAGCATTTATTAGGCCTCTGTCATAAACAGCCCTCATATTCCTAGTCCTCAAACCCTATTTTTATTCAGCAGAGAGCACCTGGCTTCAGGCTGCACCCAGAACAATCCTCACCTTTTATGTAAATCCGGAAGATGTCATCCTTCACATAGGACATTGCCATTGTCAGCTCCTCATCACTGGAAAATGCAACCAAGTCTCCATCCTCATCTAGATGATTTAAAAGACAGCACATGAGTACCTGGGGCTGCCAATGGGATACAAGTTGCTGAAATGGGCTGAGGCCAGTGCTGAAGGGGCATTTCAGGGGCTATAAACTGGAATCCCTGTGTGATCTCTGGGGGAGGCAGAGATGAGAGGCAAGACTGCCCATTCACTCGGATGCTATCTGGAAGGTAAGGACTCCAACCTAGGCCTCTGGACCATGGGCTGCATTCCAAAGCAGTTTGGGTGCCTGCAGGACACAATAGTGACAGCTGGCCACTCACTGCTTTGCCTTAGGGCCAGGAGTCCCTTCAAAAAAGTGCTGCCTCTGTCCATATCCAACCAGGCCCAATCTCCAGTGTGGGAGATGTGCTTGAGACCAGTTCTTGGAGGACCTAGTCTTCCAAAGGCCTTGGACTTAAAAGTTTATGAGAGTAATACAGACAAGCTCATCTTCCTGCTCCCAGTGACATTACTAGGGGAGTGCAAGGGATGCAGGCTGAGCCAGATAACACTATCACCAAAATGACTGTCTATAAAATTTTTGTGCAGTGTTTCAGCAGAAATTTATTATTTTTCATAAAAATATCTCTGTAGTAACTTACAACAAAAATATTTTTCATAAGCCTAGCTTACATGCATCAATAAGTAACAAGGCTAAAAAAGTCTATGTTAATTTACTTTTTCAATTTTCTAATGCACTCAGGGGGAGCTCTGGTAGCGTAGTGCCTAAGGCATTTGACTGTTAATCAGAAGGCTGGCGGTTCAAACCCACCAGTCACTCCTCAGAAGGAAGGTTAGGCAATCTACTTCCATGTTGATACCACCTCGGAAACCAAAGGAGGGGTCGCTTTGAGTTGGATCTGACTCCACAGCAGTGCATTTGGAATGCATTCAGGTCAGAGCTATCATTATTACACAATTACAATGAAGCTTCAAATCACGTGGCTTTACATGCCCACGCTACAAGCCCACACTAGTTTTCATTGCTGCTAGTATTTTTACAGTCCCTGATTTTGTCATATTTTCTTGTTTTAGGGACAATGTTGTTGTAAGTAGTATTTGTGAACTTATCACCAACAACTTTTTTCAAAAGGAAAAGCCTGCTGCCATCGAGTTGATTCTGACTCAAATCAGTCCTCATTGGGCTTCCAAGGCTGTAAATCTTTACTGAAGTAGATTGCCTTATCTTCCTCACACAGAGCAGCTAGTGGGTTTGAACCACCAACCTTCTGGTTAGCAGCCAACTGCCTTACCCACTATTCCACCAGAGCTCCTTAATTAAAGGAAATTTAGAAGAAAAATAAAAAACAAAGGAGAAAAATCAAGTATATGTTCTGCTCAGTTACTAACAATGTTGTGATTCAATGTAGAATTATTTCACAGAACAATTTTGTTAGTATTCATATAATCAATGAAATATTCTATTTAAGGAACTTATAACTATATTTATCATGTATTATTAAGAATTCTATATGATCTGGTATGGGAGGGGATCCATGGAGCTAAGGGGGGGTGACACCAACCCTAGTGACACCACCGCAGCTTCCTCCTTCCACAGAGAAGCTAAAATCCGTAACTGGATGTTTGTTGTTGTTAGGTGCTGTTGAATCAGCTCCAACTCAGGGACCCTACATACAACAGAACAAAACACTGCCCACTCAGTCCTGCGCCATCCTTACAGTCCCTGCTATGCTTGAGCCCATCATTGCAGCCACTGTGTCAATCCATCTTGTTGAGGATCTACCCCTTTTTTGCTGACCCTTGACTTTATCAAGCATGATATTCTTCTCCAGGGACTGTTCCCTTCTGACAACATGAACAAAGTACATGGCCATTCTTGTTTTTAAGGAGAATTCCAGCTGCACTTCTTCCAGACAGATTTGTTTATTCTTCTGGCAGTCCATGGTGTCTATAGTATTTTTTGCCAACACCACAATGCAAACATATCAATTCTTCTTCAGTCTTCCTTGATTTATTGCCCAATTTTCACATGCATATGAGGCAATGGAAAATACCATGGCTTAGGTTAGGAGCATCTTAGGCTCCAAAGTGACATCTTTGCTCTTTAACACTTTAAAGAGGTCCTTTGCAGCACATCTGCCCAGTGAAGTATGTAGTATGATTTCTTGACTGCTGCTTCCATGGGTGTTGATTATGGATCCAAGTAAAATGAAATCTTTGACAATTTCAATCTTTTGTCCATTTATTATGATACTGCTTATTGATCCAGTTGTGAGAATTTTTATTTGCTTCATGTTGAGACGTAATCCATACTGAAGACTGTAGTCTTTGATCTTCATCAGTAAGTGCTTCAAATCATCTTTATTTTCAGCAGGCAAGGTTGTGTCATGTGCATACTGAAAGTTGTTAATGAGTCTTCTTCCAATGCTGATTCCACATTCTTCTTACAGTCCAGCTTTTCATATTATTTGCTCAGCATACAAATTGAACAAGCATAGTGAAAAGATACAACCCTAACATACTCCCTTCCTGATTTTAAACCATGCAGTATCACATTGTTCTGTTCCAACGATAGCCTCTTGGTCTATTAATAGGTTCCTCATGAGCACAATTAAAGTGTTCTGGAATTCCCATTCTTTGCAATGTTATCCATAATTTGTTATAATTGGATGCAGTCTCCAATTTTTAGAGGTTGGGTCAAATGGTTTTAAACCACCACTATGTGGACCAAATCACACCATCCAACTGCAGACTGGATCAGCCTGTGGACCACAGATCACAACATCAAGAATAGGGGCAGCACCAAAAGATGGAAATAACTCAAGCATCTATCAACAGATGAATGGATAAACACAATGTGGTATATCCATACAATGGATTAGGATTCCCCTATAATATTATTACATCATGCTACAACATCTATGCATCTTGAAAACACTATGCTGAGTGAAAGAAACCAGTCACAAAAAACCCACAGATTCCATTTATATGAAATGTCTAGAACATGCAAAGCTATGTTGTTATGTGCCCTCAAGTCGGACCTGACTCAAAGAGACCCCTCCTTGGGTTTCCGAGGCAGTATCACTACGGAAGTAGATTCCCCATCTTCCTCCCAAGGAGTGGCTGGTGGGTTTGAACCGCCAGCCTTCTGGTTAGCAGTCACGTGCCTTAGGCACTATGCCACCAGAGCTCCCAATGCAAAGCTATAGAGACAGAGATTAGGTAAATGGTATGGCACTGATTTGTATCTCAAAGAAGTTGTTCCCCCCCCCAAAAAAAAAAAAAAATCTCAAAACTGGAGCAATAACCAACATCACAATAAATGGATAAAAGATCGAAACTGTGTTAAGATTTCATTTTACTTGGATCCTAGCAAGCTGGCGGCACTGCTAAGGGAGGTTCTAGCACTGTCCCCTCCCAGGGGATGGCCCTGGCTGCCCCGCCCTCCCTCCTAGCCACAACCACCTCCCTAACCCCACCCCTGGAAGTCACCAGTCACAACAGCACAGCAAGGAACTAAGCTAGCTCCAGGCCCCAAAGGCTTCCCAGCCTCTATCCCTACAACAAGGCTCCCAAACAACCCTTTGATCTTAACCTTCTCTCCAACACCTGTGAGATGTCAGTACTCTGCTTGGCCTTGGACATTGTTTACTGGCCCCAACCTGTTTCAGTCTGTAATGTCTATCTCTTGATAGCTCCCAGCATCCCACACTTGTTTACCTACGTCACTCCTCCCCCGCTTCTGAAGCCTCTTCCTCACGGTCTTCTTCACCCAGGCTCTTTAAGGGCAGAATCTGAACCCACCAAGTGGCGCAAGTCATCCCAGACTCTGCAGCCGCAAGATGTCAGTGTAACCTGAGTGCCTGCCGCCCGCGGAGATGCGAGAGGACGCCCCTACGCGTCTTTGCCAAGCTCTGCAGCATCATGGCGAGGGGTGGGGGTGGGGTAATGGCATCTGATGCCTTCAGATCTGAAATCCGCCTGGAGAATCTGGCAGCTCTTGGTCCCAGAAAAGCCAGCGCTAAACAGCTGGTACTGCGCCGGAACCGAGCCTTGGTCCCCACTGCTGGCACTTCCATACCCGAGGCCGAACTGTCGCGAGCCACCCAAAAGCCAGAGCCGCCCTCCCTCACCCCATTAAGCAACGACGAAAAGGAAGGCAGAGACTCCCGCCTAGCAGAGCAGGCAGTCAGAAGGCCGCTCTGCCTGCGTCACCGCCACCCCCTCCCGCCCTGCTCACCGCGGTAGTGCGCCTGGAAGCCGCCCGGCCGCAGCACGGGGAACAGGGCGGCCACACGGCTCAGCAGCCGCTCGCAGGGTCCGGGCCCAGCCGCGGCCTCGGCTTCTGCCTCGGGCTCGGGACTGACACAGAAGCTGAAGCGGCGGATCTCGCGGGTCGCGTCCTCCTTTCCCAGAAGATAGGCCTTGACGGTGAGCGACGCCATAGCAAAAACACGAAGCAGCTGGAACCAAGCTAAGCTACACCGGCTTCAGGCGCGCGGTCTTTATAGCCAACGCGGGAAGCGCCGCCCCACCCGGTCTCCTGGAGGCGGGGTCTCTCCGCACCGTCCTCGTCCCCACCTCCCGGCCGCCGTGCGCGCGAGCCTCCCTGTGGCGGCCCTGCATTCGCTACCACACCACGTCTCCTGTGACATCCCCCCCCCGCACTGTCGCCAGACCTCCTCCATTGCCAGCCCCTCCTCTCACTGCCCCCAGGACAGCAGGGTCGTCAAGAAGCCCGCTAGGCTGT